CACGACGCAGGCGGGCGGGCCGCGCATGTGTGGTCTCGGGCGGCACACGGCCGAGGAGCACGACGCAGACGGGCTGGCCGCGCAGGTGTTTTGATTGGACCTCCCACGCTTGGGATGTGGGGGGGGAGGGGGGTGGCGCGAGTGGCCAGGTAGCTTTTGGTCTCCCTGGGAGTCCAGGGGACGAGTCCTTTTCGCGAATCGCCAGTCTTCCAGAAGCCCGATGCTCCATGCCTGTCTTTTGCCATGTGTAGTGCGCTCGTTGCCTATCCTATCAAGTCGCATTTATGGTGGAATGACGTTTTGGTCATTTCGATGCAACACGCCTCGGGAGGGGAAGGGTCACTGCTTTTGGCAGGATCCTGTCTATAAGTAATGCGCGGCTAGTCCCCTGAGGCCTCTTTGGTTAGGACGGAGCTGACCGCGTGTCGGGAGGCGGCTAGGTAGATGCTGAGCCTTTCCCCGAGAGTAACCGAGGCCAGGCGGGGGAGGTGGGCTAAGTGCCGCTTGACCTGCTCGAAAGCCTCTTCACACTGCGTCGTCCACTGGAAGTCCTTCGGGTTCTTCAGCGCCCGGAAGAAGGGAAGGTAGCGATCGCCAGACCGGGATAAAAACCGGGATAGGGCAGCTAGCCTCCCGTTTAGTTGCTGCAAGTCCTTGATCGTCCGGGGGGGCCCGCATGGAGATGACCGCCCAAACTTTTTCTGGATTCACGTCAATTCGTCTTTCGTGCACGATGAATCCGAGGAACCGCCCCGAGCCCATGCCAAAAACGCACTTTGTAGGATTTAGCCATAGGCCATGCCGCCAGAGTGTGGAGAATGTCTCGGCCAAGTCAGTCAGGTGGTCTGCCGCCGTGCGACTTTTCACGATCATGTCGTCGACATAGACCTCGACGTTTCGCTCGATTTGCGCGGCGAACATTTTGTTCACGATCCTCTGATAAGTGGCGCCTGCGTTTTTTAGCCCGAACGACATAACCTTGTAGAAATACACCCCAAGATCAGTGATGAAAGTCGTATGCTCTTGGTCCTCGGGCGCCATTCTGATCTGGTTGTAGCCGGAGAAAGCGTCCATAAATGACAAACGGGCGTGCCCGGTAGTCGCGTCAACTAGCTGATCGATCCGCGGGAGGGGATAGCAATCCTTTGGACATGCACGGTTGAGGCTGGTATAGTCAAAGCACATTCTCCAGCTCCCATTAGGTTTCTTTACTAGCACAACATTAGACAGTCACCTCGGGTACTTGACTTCTTCGATGAAGCCAGCCGCTAAGAGTCGTTCCACCTCCTCGCGGACGGCGAGTTGCCTATCAGGGGATTGGCGTCGTGGTTTTTGTTTTACTGGCCGTGCGTCAGGGGCTATATTCACCTGATGTTGAGCAGTCTTCGGGTCGATGCCCGTTATGTCGGATGGTGACCAAGCGAAGACGTCGGCATTTTTCTGTAGGAAGCCGACGAGTCGTTCCCGCTCCTGCTCAGGGAGTTCCGATCCGATCTGTACTGTCCGATCCGGACGTTCCTTCATCAACGGGATGTCACAAGTGGTCGCCGTTGGCTCCGGGTGTGGCGTCGACCGCTTTCTTTCCCTCGAGCCCTCTAGGGGTTGGTTGTCGTTGACCCTTTTGCGTATCAAAACTGCTGTCTGGTAGCACCGTCTGGACTCTCGGGGGCTCCCCCATACTTCCCCTGTTCCAGCGTGGGTAGGGAACTTCACCGTCTGATGATAGGTGGAGACTACAGCTCTGATTTTGTTGAGGGTGTGGCGGCCAAGGATGACGTTGTAAGCAGTAGGGAGGTCTACTACCAGGAAGGTGGTCATCACCGTTTTCGTTTTGGGTGGCGCTCCCAGAGTCAGGGGCAAGGTGACGGTCCCTAACGGTGAGATTGAGTCACCAGTGAACCCTATGAGTGCCGAGCAGATAGGCTTCAGGGATTCTTTGGCGAGCCCCAGCTTCCGAAAGGCGTCCAAGTAGAGCACGTCGGCCAAACTCCCTGTATCTACCATGACTCTCCTTACCTGGGCGTTGGTGATCCGAGCCATTATCACTAGTGCATCGTCGTGCTCTAGTTGCTTGGAGTCTTCGGGCGGGAATGCGACCTCGGGGTCGAGGCCGCGCTAGGGGGCGTCACTCACGACGGAACGGGCGTAGGCTTTCCTCCCAGACATACTGGTTCCCCCGACTGCCGGACCTCCAGTGATGACATCGATGTGGAGCTCCACGGGACCCTCCGGGTGGGGCGAGGGTTCCCTGCTCCGTCGGACGTAGCGGTTGAGGTGGCCTCCGCGGACAAGTTCTTCGATATGTTGTTTCAATTGGCGATAGTCTTTGGTGTCATGTCCGCTTTGCCTGTGAAAGCGATAATGTTTGGACTGGTCAGCGAGCTCTTGCGAGTTCCTCATCGGGACGGGGGCCTTGAGTAACCCTTTCTCCCTTATCTGGAGAAATATCTCCTTCCGGGACACGCCGAGAGGGGGCAAAGGGGGCGCCAGAGTGGGTGGGTCGAATTGGTTAGGCCTGCGCCTAGTCGCGGTGGGCTGTTGCCCGTGAGCCGGTTCTGGCCTGACCCTCGGGGGCCGTTCCCGCTTTTCGCCCGTCCAAGACTTCGCCGTGACGAACTGGTTTACCCGCTGAAGCATTTCAGGAACCGTGGTGGGGGGTCTCTCCATGAGGGACCAGAGGAGCCGGGAAGAACGTAATCCTGCCATGAACGCCTGCATCAAGAGAGAGGGATGAGCATCAGCTAACCCCCGGATCCGTGTCGCAAAGCGGGTTACGAAGTGTGAGAGGGACTCGTCCTCCCTCTGGTGTAGCCCGAGAAGCAGGGCAACGAATGGTTTCGGTCGTGCGCTGGCCAGGAAGTTGAGCTCGAAGCTTCTGGTGAGCTGGTCGAACGAGGTAATCGTTCCGGACCTCAAGCCGTTGTACTAGATGCGGACGTGTCCTCTCAGGGTTGTGGGGAATGCCTTGCACATCAGAGCGTCAGATGTTCTATATAGGGTCATTTGGGTGCGGAAGGCCGCTACATGGTCAGCTGGGTCGGTGGAGCCATCATATGCGTCCAAGGAGGGGAGGCGAAAGCTTTGCGGGACCGACTGATCCCGAATTTCAGGGACGAATGGGGATCCCTGATGTGCATCCTCTCCATGCTCTCCTTTTGACCTCCGGATCTCCTTCTGCACCTCGTCGAGCCGCTGACAGACGAGGAGCAGTTGGGCTCGCAAGGAGTCCGTCGAAGCCGAGGAGAGGGCCTCGGGTCCCGCGTGGCCCTCATGGTCCTCCGTCACCCGATCTCCCAGCGGAGACGACGGGACCCGAGGGGAAGCGGGAAGCTCCGAGGGCTAGACATGAACTTGGACAGAAGTTTCCTGTTGCCGAACGGGTCGGGCGGCCGGCGAGCGCAACGTTGGAGCAACGAGCGGAATGATGGACCGGGTCGTTGAATATCCGCCAATAACGCTCCGAAGTCATGATGGGGTGTTCGTTGCGAAGGCCCTCTTACGGGGCAGGTTCTTCCGTAGCCACGGCCGGGTGCGACCCCTCAGCTGCGGGTCCGGTTGAATCGGTCGGGTGATACCTCGACATCATTCAAGCCCTTCCTCTAACGCCAAAATGTTAGTGTAAACACCTTTAAGCCGTGGCCTCGGGGTCGACACGGCTGGGTTCGGGTCTGAATGACGGGGAATCGCCCAAACTTCTCCTAGGATCTCTTCGCCTATGCGCCTGATGCGAGGTGTCACGCCTCCGGTCCTGCACACGGGTCGGGTCGGAAGCTCGGCCCGACCTCTCCGACGATCAAGTTAGTGATGTGGAGTCAAGTGATCTCCTCCCTTTTTGCTTACAACCCGGGGGTATTTATACGGGAGTTTCGTCTTACCTGGAGCGCCTGTCCGCAGGGGGCAGGATCATACCTCTGATGGCGTCTGACATTGCTATTGGCGTATCATGAAGAGGCGACCCTGAGCGATCGTTAATGGGCCTCGGTTGGTGTTTTGGCCTATGCTGGCCAAGCGTTGTCAGCCCGTCATAGACGCGGGGCGTCAGCTGATGTCACGGTAGTCTTATCATAATTATTACCCTCATCATAATACATCATCAATAATAGATGGATTACGTCAGGCATCCATCAATTATCGAGTTGGAGACCTGTCTATAAACGGGCATTACTGCCGCCTTGAGAACACGCGCAGTTCGGACCGATCCTTTCGTGAACGGGGAGAGAAGATGACGGCGTTCCACGCTCTTCGAGTGAGCCGCCACGTCCTCCTCAACCGCGCCCATATGCTACTCTACTCCCTCGCCATCCTCGCTCTCCTCCGCCACCGCGTTTCCTGCCTTCTCTCCTCTTCCCGCTTCATCCCCCTCCTCCTCGCCGAGCTGGTCCTCGCGCTCATGTGGGTCGGCTCCCAAGCCACCCGGTGGCGCCCCGTGCGTCGCCACGAGTTCCCCGACCGGCTGCTCCGGGAGGTCGACCCCGCGGCCTTCCCCGCGCTCGACGTATTCATCTGCACCGCCGACCCGCACCGGGAGCCA